GCAGGCTCCGGTTGGCCACCAGAGCCGCGTCGCCCCGCCCCCCGCGCCTCCGCGGGGCCGAGGCCGCTTTGCGTCTCCTGCAGCCTCCGGTCCCGCAGTTGGCTGCAGCTTCGTGCGTGCGTTCATTCATGTCTCACCAGACAGACGTTTAATGAGCCCCTGGTTTAGGCCAGGCATGGGCCAAGCACTGCGAGGGCTGCAGAGGTCATTCCCTTGTCTTTTCCAGACCCTTCTGCCGGGTCCCACACCCAAAGCTGAAGCCCTCGGCCCTTATCCCCGGTTCTTACCGGGTCTCTCTCATCCTGGCGCTTCTTACCTCACTTGGCCTCCCAGGGGCATTTGACCCGGCCTTGCTCTGTCTCTTCTCCAGCTCTTACCTATTCTGCATTTCCTGGGCGCCCTGCTTCCGCTTCTCCCCTTTCGGTGTTGGTGTTCAGTGGGGCGCCATCCTCTCTTCCCACCTTGTCCCTTGTCTGTCTCCCTCCATCCGCTCTCCCTGCCTCCTTACTCCTTCAACACGGACTTCTTCCTTGCCTCCTTCCTCTCCTTCTTCCCTTTCCCACATGCCAACGATGGCCACGTCCAGTGATTTTACAGCTGTATCCATCTCTGGGACACCTCCCCTCTAGCCCTATCTCCTTCCATGTCATTTCTAACCAGGATAACGGCTGAAGCCCTCACCAGTTTCCGAACTTGCAGCCTTGGCCATTTCCAGGCCACTCTGCACTCGACCACACATCTTGTGGGACCAAGCTGTGTTTGCAGAAGCATCAGATCCAAATCTGGGAGACTGGAGGTATGTGTGTGTGCGTCATAGGTGTGTTCAGTTTTGGGCAACTGGCAAAATGTAGACCATTTAGAAAATGAGTCGCCAGGATGGTGAAGTACCCTGCCCAGTGGTAGGAGGAATTGGAGACACCTCTGGAGAAATAAAACTTTGGGCAGAGTGGGAAGGGGAAGATGGGACAGGTGAGTCAGGATGTCTTCACGTATCTGACAAACTGGCCAGTGGAAAAGGGATTCGGCGTGTTTTCCTAGGTCCCAGCGCCTGAGCAAGACCCACTGTGTGAAAACTACTATTTCAGCTGAACCCAGGTGAAAGTTTTAAAGGTGACTTGTATGACAATGCTGTTTTACGAGTTCCTGAGCAGAGCATGGGTAATAATTTGTTAGAAACATTTAGAGAGACACTTGAAGAAGACACTGGAAGTTGTTACTTCCAACACCAAGTTGCCTTGCTTCTAAGAAAGTCAAAAAGTGAGCTGGTTTGGCTTTTGACCTTCAACATGTTAGCTTTTAGCTGATCAACATCCAAGGAAGATAACAGTAACTTGAAAGCTTTAACTGGGCCACAGAGTCCTCCATGAATCTGATGGGGGCTAAAAATCTTTTCGCAAGGAAGATGCATATCTACATACAAAATTTTGCTCACAAATTCAGGGAGCTCAGAGAGCCCTGAGGTCCATCCTTGGAACCCATGAACCTCAGGTTCAGAACTCTATATCTGGCAGATAGTTCTTGATATAGAAATGACACTTGGCCATTTCATAGTTTCTGTATAAACTGGCAACTTGAGGCAAAAAAGAAACTTCCCTTCTTTCTGAACAGACTGAACAACCAAAAAAGAAATTTTAAAAGTTGGGAGACATCGCATCAGCTTAAGAAATATTGGAATGATGTCATCTATTTCCATTTATTTATTTAACCACTCATTCAATAAGTATTTATCAGGTGCCTCCTCTGTGCCCAGTATTGTTCCCACAGCTGGGTATACAGTTGTAAGCAGATAAACTCCCTGCTCTCACAGGACCTGCATTTTGTGAGGGAGCTGGACAATAAAGAAATGCACAAGGAATACTAAGTCTGTTGAGTAACAATAGCGTTGTGGAGAAAATTAAATCAAGGTGAGGAGGGGATAGGCAGTGTTAGAGACAGAGTGTAATTATGATCAGGGAAGGGCTCCCTGATAAAACAACCCTGAACCCAGACCCAGAAGGAGCAAGGATTGTGTATATCTGGGGGAGCTTTCCAGGCAGAAGAGATAACAAATGTCCAAACCCTGAGACAATGAGAGAAAATAAAGAAGAGAAGAGGTATGAGGAGTGAGCCATGGGACACACTAACATGTAGGGTCAAGGAGATAAAGAGGGTCCATTGAAGGAGAAAGAGATGAAGGAGTATTGAGGCAGGAGGAAGGCAGAGAGGGAGGTCCTGGGAGCCAACTGCACAAAGCACTCAAAGAAGAACAAGGAAGATGTCGTCAACTGGATCAAATGCTAGTGATCAAGTCTGTGATGCAGCTTGAGAATGGACCATTGGCTTTAGTAACCGGGGAATCATGGGTGACCTTGTCAAGAGTATTGGGAGTGAAGAAAGCCTGAATGGAATGAGTTCAGTGGAGTGGGAGGAGAAGGATCGGGGCAACAGACAGACAGGTCGTTCAAAAAGTTTTGCTACAAAGAAAAAAATCAAAATGATTCAAATTAGGAGATTTTATAGCATGTTCACATGCTGATTGGAATGATTCATTGGGGAGGAAAAAACTTGCATTGTCTGGGACGGAAGGCACAACTATGAAACAGTATCCTTCAGCAGAGGAGAGGTTGGTCTTTGAATAACAAGGCTCAAGGGTACTTCTAAGTCTAGACTCTTGGGGCACCCATGGGAAACATTCTGCCCTGAGAAGGAGCTTAGAGACAAAAATCACACGCCGCAACAAAAAAAGTATGTGTATATTTATATATGGTAAATACACTTACTGTATGTAAACATATGTATATATACTTTATATATATATACCGTGTGTAAATGTATCTACATGTGTGTGTATATGTGTATGTTTACACTCGTGTATAGAAGTATGTATACCAGTATAAATATATATGTGTATGGAACAGTGTATATATAGTATATATACACACAGAGTATTAAATATATGCAAATTATATGTAAAATTGCAGGAGGGAAAAATCATTTTCAATGATTGAGGAAGATTTCTGGTCCCTCCTTCAATTTTTCATGACCATTTGTTTATACTTCTCTTCTGCTATCTCAGCGTTAGCTATTGGTATTCTCATCATATTATCCCTCATAAATGTAAATTTATAAAGAATAAGACCAAGTGGTTTTTCATATTTGTAGCCTCCATTGTACCTAACACAACTCTTGCAAAGAAAAATAGACATTTTATGGTTATACTTAAATGTAGAACTTTGAGTTTACTTTTTAGTTCTTTTAAAATAAACAATGAGGTAGAAGTTTTAGGATGCCTAAACACTTAAGAGACAATCAAAAAATTAAAGAGAATAAATATATTCAAATTATAAATATATGTAGATTATATAGGATATATATATACACATCCTGAACACAAAGATAATTTTCAGTGATGTTTCAGGTCATATAGTATCTTATCAGGCACTATATGGAATTTTTTAGTAGCCATGTTTTACTAAAAAATTATTGCTTAATTAGCAGATGGTATTGGAAAACGAATATGTTCTGCTAATGATGTACTTTTTCCATTTGGAGATTTTGTGAGTTTTCTTGTTTCATTTATGACCACCATTAAAACTAAGTGTTGAAAATAAGCTGAAGTTAGAACCAGACCAGAAAAATCTCTGTATAACAAGTGTATTAAACCAAGATTTGCTCAAATAGTGAGGCCTGTTCAATCTCATTTTTTTAACGTATATTTTGTCCAAGGTGGTATGAAATATTTCATTTTAAAAAATATTTATTGAAATCTAGTTGATTTACAATATTGTATTAGTGTAAGATGTACAGCAAAGTGATTCAGTTGTACATACATATACATATATTCTTTTTCAGATTCTTTTCCGTCACAGGTTGTTACATGATATTGAATACAGTTCCCTGGGCTGTACAGTGGGGCCTTGTTGTTTATCTGTTTTTTGTATAGTAGTGTGTGTCTGCTAATCCCAAACTCCTAATTTATCCCTATTCAATCTCATTTTAAGTGGGAACTTTATTCAATAAGTAAAATAGGTATTTCTAAATGTTATTTTTTTCATTCTTACCTCAGTCTTTCTTAACTTTTATTTTCACATATGTTTTATAATATAGAATATGTAGGCAAAATAATACATTTATTCATAGATATGTATACAAATAGTGGCTATGTAGCCTCAAAATATTTTTACTGGCAAACAGTGCTTGAGCACAGATGCCCAGCACCCACTGCTATGAATCAGGGCTTCTTGGACGTAGCTGCACATCAGGCTCACACAGAGGGTGTGTCCAGTCCAGATTTCTTGCCTCTTTCTCCCATCAGATTCTCTGAGAAGTGGAGCCTGGAAATATGATTTTTTTTAACAAAGTTCCAAAGTGATGCTTTTGGCACTGATCTGAGGAGATGCATTACAATGCACAGTTAATAATAAATAATTTTCTGTTGACTCACACTTCAGGAGACTGACGGATCTAGTGAGCTTCCAGACTTTCATGGGCGGGAATGATGATCACACATCACAAGAGCAACACACTGGACAGGTAACCGGGATGCCTTTGGAAGAAGCAAAAACAGAACAAGCTTTCCAGGGCTCACTTTTATCCCTGAACTCTTAGTATAGAAATCCCTTTAGTATAAGCGCTCAGCCATGTTTCTGGTCCTCATCAGTAAAGTGAGAGATACAGTGCCCCCTGCTTCTTAGGACAAGAATCCAGTGAGATAATATATGTAAAATATCTTGAACAAGTGCCCAGCACATAGTAAAATTTCACAAGTATCAATACCGTAATGTTTATATACCATCCATTTTAGGATAGAAGATTCTGGGGGAGAATGATTATTAAAAATTATTATATCTGAGCATACACATTGTTTTTACCACATTGGTTTTGCCACAGTGTGTCAACACCATGTCCAGAT